TAAAAGGGAGGGGGGATTTAAATGGAATTTTCCGAAGAAAAAATTGCCAGAAGAAAAAAAAAAAAATGCAATGCATGTTCATTGTTTACTTTCCATCACCATATAATTAAATATGCATTATGAATTCAGAAGTTAACTACGGATGACTAAAGAAGAGCAGGAATTAATAAAGCACCAAATCAAGTATTTAACTTTCTAATCTGTAAATTTACATATCGAAGATGGCAGCTACAACTTCATGGTTTCTAATCTTACCGAACTCTGCTTCTGAACACAGAGAATACGAGTAACATTATTTTTTTGTTTTTTTTTTTCTGTGGGATCTCTACTCCACCAACAAATAGCAGCTTCAATCAATGACATCTCTGGAACACAGTTTTAACATGATACAGTTTTGTGCAATGGAGACGTACACTATACGAAAACCTGCCAACTCCTACCACCTTCATTTCCATTCACATAGCAGCCTTCTTGTGTGGTTAAAAAATTAAAATGTTAAGAATTCTCAATCAGCAACCCCACTCCTGCTTCATAGGTACTGAACTTGACGAGCCAAATATCATGGGCTGGATAAATAAATCAAGAAAAAGAAAAAGTAGAATAACGATCATGAATCGGGTGTAAATTATGAATAGTTAATTTCACAAGGATAATGATTATGGAAGTATCGCAGAGAGATGCTAAAAGCAAACAGACAATTATAAAGGGAAAAAACTTAATATTTTCAATCTAAAAACTTACATGTAAAGGGCATTTTGCTTACTCGCCAATAAGCACATTAGGTCCAAGATAATGCATTTGAACCAAGGTTTTGAAGACTGGATCGGACATCAAACCAGTAAAACTAAAGGTTCAACAGTCCACAGTCGAACCGGATAAAAAGAAACTTAACATTAGTGTGATCTAAATACTAACATGTACCTTATCGGTATTCGGATTGAGGAAAAGCACCCTTAACTCTTGAATTCCGTTTATGCACCAATATGCACATTAGATTCAAGATATTATATTTGAAACCAAGATTTGAAGATTGGTTCAATCATCAAACCAGTAAAACTATGTGTTCAATGGTCACAAGTTCGACCGTGGTCAAACCGAATGTAATTTATTAATAATTTTAACATTTTTAAATAATAAAAAACTAAATATCCGGGATATTACAATAGTATACATAACTAAACTAATTGATAAGATAATACATACATATCCAAACTATTTTAATATGTATGTTTATTTCAAAAAACACTGAATTATATTTAAGATAAATGAATAATGTCAAAAAGGTTTAACCAAATCTATTCACAATTTTGTTTATGCAATGCTCAAACACAACATAAATCACTCCCTTTAACAACTATTGCGTACGTTGGTAGCAAATCTAGTTTACAATTAAAAAAAGTCCATCTACCTGAAAACTCGTCATACCAATTTAGTCAATCTATTAACCAAAATCAGACTGAACAAAGAAAAACTAATGGCACAATACATCAGAGAGACTAAAATGCAAGATTAACCATTTAGACGCAAGAGAGCGCAACCATTTATGGAGCCTTATGACTTAATCAGTAATCATTTTTTATCACATGGTGGGCATATATAATTCACGGGTTGTTGCCAAATCAATATTAGGGCTCCGTCCTCTGGTTTTATAGAAAATTTTGAAACCAACATTGCCATAAAATACATTTTTGTTCGATGAACCTTTTCTCCCACTACATAATAATGACAAAATAAACTAAAATAAAAATGAATTTGAGCATCATCAGATATAAAATGAATATTGAGATAAGTTAACTTGATATAAAAAGAAAATCATTTTTGGAATGATTCGTAACAATATTTAAGAAGAAACAACTACATGGAAGGGGAAAAATCATTCGACCTGAGACTTTTAGACATAAATGTCAAATCCCTCCCTATATATTAATTCAAAACATGTTGAGCCTAGGTGGCAGATTCTCACGCTTCGAATGCTGAAATGGCAAAAATCCATGTTTCGTGATGTTGTTTTTATATTATTTTTGCTCTGGAGTTAGGTTTGGTATTAGACATAAATAACTTTACACATATATTTATTAACTCAACAACCATGTTGTACATGGGTATTAGTACTAGTTTATATTTATAAGCAATACTTTGATGTTTCACAATTAATTTATTTATATTCTTTACAAAAAAAGCAGAAGGGTGAGAGATAAATTGAACGTGAACAATAAGTGTATTTTATGAAAACTTCCGTAAACAATCACAACATGAAGTAAAACATTTTCTCTACGAAACCATCAAGACTGGTCATATCCAAAAGTGATCATTCACTGTTATGTTGTTTGACACAGAAAAGTTCCCAGTAGTATATGGAACAGGAGTTTAAGCAAATGTAGGATGGCATGCACAATGCAATACACAGAGACTAGATAACTTGAGAGCCATCTTTTTGCTAATGGAAGTGTAAAAGAGTAACAGTGTATAATACCTGTGATGAATGCACAAATATACTGCTTGCAAGGTCCTCATTTAAGAGCACGGGAAGAGGTGGCATTCGGTTCATAATTCCAGGCATGTTTCTCATGCTGCACGCAAAAATGAAAATAAGTGCGATAAATATAGAAGTATAAGCTCCAAAGCCGAAGTTAATGGGCCAATAAGAATAACATACTCATTCAAGATTGTAGTTAAGTTGTTCCTGGTACGAGAAAACAGATCTATGTTTTCCTGCAACTGATACATGGAATGCACAATCAGAAGACGTCAGCTTATGTTAATTATTAAAACGCCAAGTAGATATAATAGATATAAAGAAACAGAAACCATATGCATATAACAGCGAAAATGAGCATCAATAGACCTATCGAGACCAGCATGCTCATTCAAAACTGCGTACATATTTATTTATAATATAAAAAAATCTTTTGGGCATCAAGGGAAAATCAACATAATGGAATCCATAAAGCAAAGCACCTTTCATGGAAGGTGTGATAGTCTGTACAGGATCTTATAGAAGATATAGTCCTTAATTCCATTCAAATTGAGTCGCCAAATCATGACTGCATAAGTAATTATACAAAGCTAAGTGCATCTTAAACAGAAGACCCACACGAAATTACTATCACTCCCAAAAGAAGACCAGGCCCACAGCCTAGCTCGTAAAACTGTGAAACAGTCAGCTAACTAAAGAAAGATTCAATATTTAAAACCTTCCGCTGTTGGAAGTGAGTAAATCTACTCCCCTCTCATAGAAGCAAAGTACTCAGTAGGAACTTGCTTTCGATTCAAGCCTGTAGCCAGTCGGATCTGAAACCATTCTCTTTCCAAATGACAAAAGCAGCTATTCATTTTTCTCCCATGCTTTCTTCTTGCTCAAAAAAGTGCCGAGGTGAGTAATATATCTGGAAATGCCCGCCGGTACCTTCTTAACACTCTTCCGGATAGAACTAGTGCATTCCAAAATCACTGTTACTCGCGCATCTTTCCTCTTAGCAATGAACTGCCTTTGGTTTTTTATTTACTCAACTCTTTTGTTTTAATTTGAAATGAAGAATGGCCCTACCCTTGCCCAGCCCTTTTAGATGTAGGCCTGTATTCAACCTGCTCAGAGACTGGAGAGGACCAAACCGCAGGCAGCCCATTTCTGTTGTTGTACTATTGTGGTTGTTGTTGTTATTGTTGTTGTTATTATTACAGTTAAACAAGTTGATTGTGGACTACCTTAACAGTCATACTTTGATATGCGGTAGATTGTTTCGAATTAAATAATTACAACTGAGACTTCAAGTCTATAAGCAACCATAGTATTAGTCAGAAAACCAATCAGTTTTGAAGACTAATGAGCTTTCTTCAGGAAAGCCTAACAACATTTTGTTTTTGTTTGGGACAAATGACAATTTACTAATATCCAAGTAAAAAGAACAAGAAACCAATCAATAGAAAGCAGAGAACAATTCTGCTAGAGCAATATAACATCAGATCAACTCAGAAAGTAAGTTTAAACTACTTAGTAACAAATTTTCCTCTCATAGACAACATATGACATCATTCCAAGAATATCTGCCAAAGTCCACTTAATAGAAAATAACAAAGCCAACTATATTACTTAGTGGGATTTAAATGGCTTGGTGATTGATTGATCTATATTACTTTGTGAGAAATGAATACAGTGAAAAAACCAAGAACAAATTTCCAGTGACCTCCCTCCGTAGCCCTTCTATTCCAAGCACCAGCATGCATCTACAGCTACCAAAAGTGGTAGATACAAGGTGGACCACACTCCACCTCGCATTGTGCACAAAGGTCCGAAAGTATAAATTAGTTGATATGTAATGTACCAAAGTATTGATGTATATATATATAGACTAAAGATTTACGTTAAATAGTAAGTGTAAAAAGTTGGTTAAAATTATTTTTTTACTATTGTAGGGAAGTTTTTTTTTAAATTTTTTATACCCATAAATAATATTATGGTTCCCTCAATAATATGCTAGTTTATTAAATAGATAATAAATCATTATCAACAGTGTTGTACAAATTTTAATTTTGATGTACAAAATATTTAAAATCAGCATGAGTTTTCTTGAATAAAAAACTCTAAACGTTTTATAAGAGATAAACAGGACTACTCCAATCCTTCCAAAAACATTAAATTTTTCGGACTCAAGTTAAAATTTCACAATAGATTTTTTTCCCTACATCATATACAACAATTGTTTAATTAGGCAACTTATAGAAATATTATGTACAAATTTTTAATATTAATGATTAATTCATGATAAATTGAACACCAAATAATGAGAAAAAAAAAATTGTTATATAAAATGCTATTTTGAAGATATTATTGGACAATAAATCTACATAATACATATTTTAAAAATCACAATTTTTTTTAAAATACTAGACTAATATTTTTCAATAATATTTCAATTAGCAAAAAAACAAATATTTTTTACAAAAACACATAATGTACTAGCCGAAAATATTTATTCAATTTATTATAAAAATTGTTTTTTTTTATATATATTGATTGATATCCGTTCTTATTTATATTTAATGGACAAAGTACTTATTATTTAAATGGACATGTATGCAACTGGATAATAACATAGAATATTTGACAAGCTGTAAATTATATTTTTGAAGAATAACAAAATAATATTTTAGGTGCTTTTACGCATTAATTAGGTTATATTACAATTTAGGTGGAAAGATAAAACATACTCAAGCATGAATACTAATTACACAACGTGTTAGTTCTTATAGAGACAAATTGACGATACAATCTCATTTATGGTGAACTATGTTTATGTTGCACCATATTTAATTTACAAAATCAATTTTAACACTAACACCACATAATTTTCTATAAATCAATTTTAATATGGTTTTCCATGCATCGCACGGGCTGCGTACTAATATCTATAAATCATGTAAAATATATGTGCATGGATAGAAATTTATAAATTATTGAATGTGCCTCAGAGTTTCAATTCATGATCAAGATGTAACTTGTATTCAACGAATTTTATATATTTGTGTTTATTTATCTTTCATATAATACATTTTCTAATTGTAATGTACATGTATTTGCTCTATAATGTAAACATATACTAACTTATAAATATAGGTAATGCAAAGTATCTAAATTCAATATATAATATATAAAGTCTGCAATTGCAAATAATTTTGTAGGTTTTGTCCAGATAATTCATTCTTTTTTGACTGAACTGCGATTGGATACAAATTTTTAACTCAAAATTCACTATTCATCTAAACCAACTTAACACTCATCAATATTACCAATGTAATTAAATAATAAAATCAATCATTACCACACAATTTTCAACAAACTTCATCGTTCATCCACTCACATAGTTTTAACTATCAAACATTACAATTATTATTTTACTACTTTCATATTACATCAACTTTAACCATTATATATTAACTCATACTCACTTACAAACTCAAAATCAAATTCAAATCTCCACCCAATCAAAATTTGTCGATCTTACCTCACTTTATCCAATAAAAATCAAATTCAATCCAAAAATGCTTACATTGAATCGCACCATTCTTCAGTGCAGCAATTCATGTGTGGGATGCTTCTAAAGCTCATAGTGGGCTATAACAAGAAGGCAAAGAAGCCTAACACTTCTACATACAAGTTTTCTACCCTAGCAGTATATATACTTCTTCTTTTTAATAATATTTACAGTAACAACCTAACCTCATAAGATAAGCTTCAAAAAAACTGAAATAAAAAAATTCCTTCATCAGGACACTAAGGAATCCCTCATTCATGTGTGCTTATAATGAAGATTACTCACTAGACACCCCTCATTTGATCATTTCATAATTTTCATTTTCAGAAAATTGATTGGGGTACGAATATTTATCAGTGGAGGTAATTTGGGCAACCATCTTCAGAAGAAAGTAACATCCCCCATCGGATAATGGTAAAGATGAGATTAAAATAAACTTCATGGAAATGTGGAGATATAGTTTTTGGTTTTTCTAATACTACATGTCAATTTAAGCTATTCGTGGCATGCTTATCTTACAACGGCGGACAGACAGAACCTGCCCCAACTATAGAAAATTCTTAATATATTCTGTTATAATACCATTGGAATCGTAAGTCATCTTACGATAAATAAATGAATGGTGCCGCCAAAACGAAATGAAACAAAATATTTATCACTTTCTCCAAAATGCAAATAGAGAAGAATTGTACATGTTTGTAATGCACATACTACACATAATATATCTAATCTTAAATTCATGTGCTACAAGAATTGTTTGTCATGAACTGACCTTCAATGATGAAAGATTTGCAGAAATTTGACCAAAAGCCTGGTTATTTTCTTCCAAAAGATGTCTGGTCGTGCCACTCAGTACTGAAAAAGATAAATCAAGTTATCCGCTGGTAATTATAAATGATTCCGTTAACCATAACTCTAATAAAAGAGTAAACGGTAAGTTCCCTCAATAGTAAGCACATAGGAAGCATTGATGATATATTCACCAAGAAGCACATAAGAAAATAACGGGAATTCGAAAGACATGATTTAAATTTGCCTCAAGGTTAACAGACTAATTCTTAATTACCCAACCACGTCTAAAAGATAAATAAGGCCACATTAACAGAACTAAGAAATATTCGGTGAGCTAGCAATAGTGTTATACACGACATAGCATGCAAGCTGAGGACAAAATGACATAGTTACAGCATATCACATATCAGCATAGCAGCGACATTAGAGCATGTTGAGATGAAGTGCATGGTTAGCTTTTGGTTGTGTAACTCCTTTCCATACACTGCGTGAATCCACCAGGCCACTTACACATTGGTTCAGTGGGACCACGACCCATGTAATAAAGCGTCTCAACACATCCCATATTTTGAGCTTAGCAAACAATAGCAACAATACTAGTAATGTAATGATGACATGGATATAATATAAAAAGGAAATAAAGGAAGACAGCTGGACAGTCTAACAGCTCCCCCATTTTATTCTTCATTCACGGTTCCTGCAACCTCCACGTGGCCTTGACTTCCTCCAGACAGAAACTCAACTTCAATTTCCTTTTCCTTAGCAATATCGTTTTCATTTATTTCTTTTCCTCTCTCTTGCTTTGCCCCTTTCTCCATTTTCATTATTAATTCCCTCTCACTTTGACTGCAGACCGCAACGTGCAGTGTTACGAACATTTTATAATATATATCTAAAACAAGTTAGTGGGCTTATGGCCTATAGGGTTAAGTTATTCATTAGGGTTAGAATACTATTTTACAAGGAATCATTATGTGAGAGAGGACGATTTCAAGTAATTCAGGATACTCATCTTTCGCTTATTTACACTTGACTCTATAATGAAGAAACAAAGTAATTGAGCACTCGGAGCACACAACTTCCACCCACATACAGACATACTCACACCTCCACTCACACCTTAACCTTCCGTCTTACACTTTACACCGTGCTACACCACTGTTAGTGTCGCCTCTGCCACATTTTCATCCCATCAGGAAGCATCCCACCCTAGCTACTTAAGCAATTTATGTTTATGTCAAGCACATAAGTAATTTCACTGATTTAAGCTTCAGCTTAATTTGTTCGAGACTTAAAATCAACAACATGTAACGGCATCAGCACAACCACTGGTATAAGCTTGTTACACAACCCCACCCACAGTTCGGGTTTAAAATTCCATCGAAATTCATGGTGATTTGTTCTCACATTCTTACCATGTACTAAAACTGGAATTGTATGCCAAATTTACACAAGTATTTTGATTCAAATTCATAAGTTGGGGGAATATAAGTCATATCCATTAGGTCAATCCAGTTTCCAAGAGAAAGTTCATATGTGACAAGTTGCCATGCCTCCCCATGTAATCAATCCCATTCTTCTTTCTTGTGTGATATTTATTCTTTTGAAGTATAGTCGAAAAAGTTAACTATGTAGACTAGAAATAGAATGTATGGATACAAGATGCAACAAAAATTACAATTTACTCCTCTTTCTGTAGAAGGTATTCAGAAAGTACTTCCAATTTCTAGTAAAAGTAAAAACAAACCTCCAGATAGCATGTAACCACTTGGATGTTGATGGTTTTTAGTTAGTGAATATCCAGGCACATGCATTGACGAAGCTGAACAGATGGTGTTTTTCGTAGTTGACTCCGTCAATTTTTCCTGAGAAAATGGGAACTTTTCAAGTCAAGATTTTCCTATAGGTAGTAAGTTCTGAATCATGGGTCAGTCTACACAGAAATGGCAGCAATAGCTTTACTAGTTGAAGTATATGAATCTGTTGAAGTAGGCCAGAACATTTCTTCAAATAAAGTAACCAGAAAGCAACTTATCATCGATAAAAGGTTGCTGAATCATGGACCAGCCAGTAACCATTAGAGAGTTAGGTACATTATCAATAAGTTTATACCAACCAATTATCTACATAGTTGTTAAAGAAGTGCTCGAGAGGTGCAAACTGCAGCGAGTTCCATTTAGGAGAAGAGAAGCATGAAAAAAAGATTATGAAATTTGAGTTGGTGGTCTTTCTTGATGGCATCTACATTTGCATCATTGGGATAGATAAATCAAATGTTAATTTACAATATGACAATAGAAGCATAATTGGAGGAACATAACTCAAGCATAATAGAAGTGATTGATATCTATTACTTAGCTATAGAGTTTAAAATCCAGCCCTTCCCCATTATGGAGGCATCGTTTTCAGTTCACAGAACAAGTGCTTTGCAAACCAGGCAAGAACTAAAAAGTCATTTTTTGCTGGAAAAACTCCACAGCATTTCATGTTTCTTTAAAACTGATGCTCATCTCAATACATAGAATGAATCATGAGAAAAATTAAACAATTGTTGCTCTATCTTCAACAACAACAACAACAACAAGATACCCAGTATATTCCCAACTGGTTGGGGTCTGGGGGGTCAGTTGTACGCAGACCTTACCCTTGTAATTATACAATCAAAAAAATTATGGATGCAAAGCTAATACTTCTTAGGCTACAACTGAGCTTCCCTGAACTAGATTCTGACAGTTGGAAAATTTCAGAACTACCTGAGTGATCAGTTGTAATTTAGCACCACTAGATAGGAACTTACAATATAGTTTTGGGTTCTGCAGATCACACCTATGCCCATAAAGAGATAAATGACATCATATTATGTAGCACAAAGTGTGTACATGCACTATTGGTTGGGGGATACCTTGCGATCCTTCACTTTCTTCCCTGAGCTCTCGTCCTCTGGCTTCCTTCTCTTTCTCTGTCAAATAAAATTAGTATCATCTCAAAATGAAAGGAATGAAACATCCACTGTAGATTTTATGGGGGAATAATAAGGGTTACAAAGAACTTACATTCATCCATCTACAGCGAAGAGCAACGTCACGAACGGAATAATAAGGGTTACAAAGAACTTACATTCATCCATCTACAGCGAAGAGCAACGTCACGAACGGACTTGTCCTGGAGTGAGGCAGCAATCTTGATATAGCGCATAATATTGGGTTCATTTGCATATCTACAAATTGAATAAGTGGTGAAGAGATGAGGAATAGTTGGATTACTTGAGTGTGAGTGTACTCAGTTCGGAATACCTACTTGACCAGTCCTTGCTCCAGCTTGTACTGTTCATCGATGGACCATTCTACAGCGAGACCTGTGTCGTGCTTCAGCCCAGGGATGAGCGATGAATCCAACAAGGGATTTCTGTTGCTATTACTCAAAATCCCAGCTGCAATCCCATCGTAGTTATTGCTAGGGCTATCGTTACTGTAATTCCCAGCCGTGGCAGGGATCAGCGAGCCACTGGTACTGTTACTCATCGCACCACCTACACCAACGCCGCCCGAAGAATTGTTACTGCTGTTACTATTGTACAGCTTAAACCCGCTGTTGTTGGCCGCCATTACTTTCTGAAATTGCAGTGAAAAGGTAATATTAATCTCAGAACAATAGCAAACATCTATCTGATTGTTAGTCGATCACACAGTTCCAGCTCAACTTTCAGTGCTACGCCTATCTTCTTTTGTGTATCTGACTATCTGTGTGTGTGTGTGTGTGTGTGTGGAGACTGGAAAAGATTTATCAGTTATCACTAGAGAAGCTGGTGCTTTCTTGTGAGCTTTTCTATAAGTGTTTGCTAGTAGCTAGCTAGCGGAGACGACACATTTTCCTCTTTTTACTTCCTAAAATGTTAATCCACCCACTTTACAATTGTTGGTACAAAATTATATAGGCCTAATTGCTTCAAAAATTTTGACATTTTACTAAATTGCAAATAAATTAGTGAAGATTATTCTACCCCTTGTACGTGACATTTTGTCTGTTCTTGAAATTAAGACAATTATACGAAAGAGAAAAGACGGCGCGATTACCTTTGACCCCGGCGACGCCTCACGACGCCAGAATATTGACACAGAGTTCCCGGTTCTCGATCGGAGCGCTATCCCGGCATCGAAACGCCCCAAGACCCGCAAACGTGCTGGCGAACCTATGGACCAGCAGAATCCGTTTCAGCCGCCTGTACAAGAACAGCCGCCCTTACAAGAACAACCGCCCCGCAAATGGTCTTTCAAGGAGATGGTTAACAAACAGAAGCACCATGTGGATATGGATCATGACGATGACGACGGGCAAGGGATCGAAGACGAAGACGTGATGGTAGACCTCTCATGCCCGCTGCCGGGAATCACCATTGCACAACGCTTTTTCGATCACATCTACAAAAAGTGGCAAAATGCGGTGGTACTGAAACCTTTTGACGAGATGCTCACCATGTCATTCCTCTATAATCGACTCACTCGGATGTGGCCTTTTATGTCGGGATGCAATATGATGGACCTAGAGAATGGATATTATGTGATTCACTTCAATAACCATGACGACACGGTCCGAGTTCTTACTGGAGGGCCCTACGTGGTTGGGAGTAGCTATATGCATGTGCAACCATGGACTCTCGATTTTGATGCTACCAAAGAGGAACTCACGGCAACGGTGGCATGGATTAGGTTGCCCGGGATGCCGGCCCACCTGTACCACAATAAGACATTTCGAACGATTGGCCGAATAGTTGGAAAGGTTGTTAAAATCGACCAACAAACGGCATCCCTTACGCGAGGCAAATATGCGAGACTAGCGGTAATGGTGGACCTCACTAAACCCCTATGTGTTAACTTCACTATCAATGGGAAAAACCAGAGGGTAGTGTAGGAGAGCCTTCCGGTTATTTGCTTCTGGTGTGGTCGGATTGGGCACTCCGGCAACTCTTGCCTTCACCACCCGACCCCCACTGAGCAAGATGCTTATAATGGCCCCCACACTGTTGTGAACACCAAGAGCGATAAGAATGGAGTCGGACCCTCAGGTGCTAAAATGCGATTCCGGATAGTGGCGTAGAAGAGCCGTACGAACCTTGGATCCAAGTGCCTCAACGTACACGTAAGCCTTACACAAAACGCAATGCTGGGATGGAGAGGACGCATCCTACCTCAATCCCACAGAGAAACGTGGGCTCTCGGTTTAATCTATTGGCTAAAGCGGACATACGGGAATCGACTCATGTCTTCGAGTTTGGTAGCTCGTCGACGGCACGTAACCAAGAAGAGCTGGCTCACACTAACAAGAGCGTGGATGGCAAGGGGGAGAAAGTTTGGCGCACGACGCTCGGCAAAGGGACCAACCACGGAAAGGCTAAGACCGAGATTTCTAGAGCGGGAACATCGAGCGGATCTAAAGAACATTCGGTCAAAGCACAAGCAACAACCCACAGTACAATCAGTGAGCTGGACAAGAGTAAGGACACAAGCAAGGATAGTCATGGACCCAAAGAGCATCTCACTACGTCTTCTCAAACTGAGCATATTCGAGTTAATGCGGGGCTGGAACCGACCACCAAGCTCTCGTTGTAATAGATGACATACAAGCGCGGCCCGAAGGAATAACCCAACTCTCGACATCTATGGTCTCCGACGAGGACGACCTAATGGTAGAAGGAGAGCAGATTATTCGGCGACAAGAGCCATGGCCGGAGGAACCAAGTACCTGTGGGAATCCAAAAGGCGAACCGCATGAGCATATAGGAATGGGGACCTCTTCAGACATGCAGGTCCTCAACCTGGATCAGTGACGATCGCAACCCCCTCCTTTGTGTTGTTTCTCAATGAATATACTCTCATGGAATGTGTAGGGTAAGGGCTTGCATGCTTTCCGGGGAGCCTTTTCTACCCTTAACCATCAATATAAACCGGATGTTGTGGCCTTGTTGGAGCCACGTATTAGTGGAGAGACTGCTGATAAGTTTGTGAGGTTTAGCAAATTTGATAATTCCTTCCGCATCGAAGCTCAGGGCTTCTCGGGGGGCATTTGGGTTTTATGGACGGATGAGGTGCACATAGATGTTTTATACTACACACGGCAAATGGTTCATGTCAGGGCATCTAAGAACTCCCATACCTGCCTAGTGACCTTCATTTATGCCAGCCCAAATGGGGCAATTCGTCGAAAACTGTGGGTCGACCTAAGGAGTTTAGCGGCGCACATTTCAGAACCATAAGTGATAGGTGGTGATTTTAATTGCCTCCTTCATCGTTCCGAGAAGATGGGTGGCTCTTACAACTTCTGCAACGTGAGTCCAGAGTTTGTTGATTGGATTTTTTATAGTAGCCTCCAAGAGGTAATCACAGATGGCCATCACTTTACTTGGTATCGCGATACTCGTCATGGTCGGGTGGCTGAAAAATTAGACCGGTTCATTGCTAATATTCCCTGGCTTGAGAAGTTTGAGTTGGGCCGAGTTCGTGCTCTCCCACGGCTTTAATCCGACTATACGCCCCTACTCTTGTCCTTTGGTCGACAAAATCCATCACCAACCAGAACAAAACCTTTCTGGTTCCTAGCGGCGTGGCTCCTTCATCCGACCTTTAAGGACATGTTAACAGATACTTGGCAGCCATCCCCATATTTTCTGGAAGCAGCGGCGAACTTTACGACCATGACGAAAGAATGGAACTTCAAAGTCTTCGGGAATATTTTTCGAAGGAAAAGAAAGTTACTGGCCCGACTAGGGGGCATTCAGAAATGCCGCCATCCACATGCACATCTACTGGACCTTGAAAAGCAACTTAGCAAGGAATTAGAGGGGGTCATTCGCCAAGAAGAATTGTTGTTGTTGCAAAAATCGACTCGGGACTGGTCCTACTTAGGGGACCGCAATACGACATACTTCTATCGTCAAATCAAACACCGTAGAAGACGATGCCGTATCACAGAGTTAGTTGATGACGATGGGAGTGTGATCACGGATCAAGAGGAGTTATGCAAATTAGCTTCTAATTTCTTTAAGAACATCTACATAATCGAGCCCGACCACGGGCCACACGATGCTCCGCTTAGCATCTTTCCCCCGTGCGATGGTGACGACATGGCTGGACTAGAAGATGTGGTCACTGACGATGAGATCTTTTCGGTCTTAAGCAACATGGGCCCCTTAAAAGCCCCCGGCATGGATGGCCTAAACGCACTCTTTTTCCAAAAGAACTGGGAGACAGTGGGCCCGGCGGTCCGAAACTTTATTCGCGAGATGTGGCATTCCGAGAAGGTCCCACAAGTAGTGAACCAAACACTGCTTGTGCTAATTCCTAAGACCGCGAATCCCAACAATATCAGGCAGTTTAGGCCTATTAGCTTGTTGAACGTAGTTTACAAGCTTTTCACAAAAATTTTGGTGAATAGAATGAAGAGCACTTTGTCCAAGTTGATTCACCTAGCTGAAGCAAGCTTTGTCCCGGGTCACCAGATATCAGATAACATTATAGTGGCTCAAGTATTAATACACTCGATGTGTGGGAAGCGCGGTGCTACGGGTTTAATGGTTATCAAAGTGGATCTCGAAAAGGCTTATGACTATCTGAAGTGGGACTTCGTTGATGAAACCTTGCGACTAGCTGGATACCCTGCAAAATTTATTCGCGCAGTCATGGCCTACATTACCTCTTCATCGATGAATCTCTTGTGGAATGGAATGATGGGGGAGGAGTTCAGGCCCACCAGGGGTGTTAGACAGGAAGACCCTATCTCCCCTTTCTTGTTTGTTCTCTGCATGGAGAGACTTGCACAAAATATATGCTTGGCAGTGGACCAACGGTCTTGGCATCCTATCTCGGTCGGGCGCAATGCTGTTCAGGTACCTTTTTTGATGTTTGCCGATGACTTACTCCTTTTCTTGGAAGCCTCTGATGACCAGGCATTGATCTTAAGACAGGTACTTGATGATTTCTGTGCCCGGTCGGGCCTTCGAGTAAGCCCGGCAAAAACACAAGTACACTTATCGCCTAATGTACCGGCCAGAGAACAAGAGCGGCTGGCCGCAATGCTTAACTTTAAGCTCACAAGTAACTTGGGTAAATATCTTGGCATGCCAATACTCCACGAACGCACGACCAAATCAACATACAACCATATTCTGGAGAAAACGGAGTCCCGGCTAGCCGGATGGCGTACACGAATGCTCTCGTTGGCTGGAAGAGTCACTCTTACCCAGTCGTGTCTCAGTACATTGCCATTCTACTCTATGCAGACCACACTACTTCTGAGTTTGATCACCGACGGGCTTGAGAGGAAATGTAGAGCATTTGTATGGGGGGTACCACCGAGCGGAAGAAAGCCCACCTGGTAGCATGGGATGAGGTCTGCAAACATAAAGATAGTGGCGGGCTGGGCATTAAAGACCTCCGTCGAATGAATAATGCGCTGCTAATAAAAGTGGGGTGTCGTCTCTTGACCAACACGAACACTCTATGGGCTCGAGTAATCACAGCTAAATATGGCCTGACTTTATGGTCGAGCTTGGAGTTGAGTTTTCAGCGGCAGGGATCAAGCTTTATGTGTGCTCTACTTAAAGTTTGGCCAC